GGAAACTTGTCCTATGAAAATTCAATTTCAATTCTACACAAAGTGAAACACAAATACACACTCAACCACAAACGTACACATGCACTCTTACTTGGAAATACAGCTATACATCAGGTAGTATTTCACTCTATGTCTTACCCTAGCCATTTTGCAGTTATTTGTCCTACTAAATTGTGTATGTTCCTTACAGGCAAAGATTAAGTATTCCACCTCCACATCTTTTACATTTAACATGGTGCCGGGCATAAAGTAATAAATGCTTTTTTGAATTAACTTACAAAAGGAAATATAAATGTTATAAAATAGTGTGCTGTATCTCCAAAAAGGCTAGAATCTGCTCTCTAAACAACGTTATTAAATGTTTTAGGTTTCTAGAAAAATTAGTAGTTTTGAAAATTTAAAAGGTATCATAAACTTTCCCTCCTCCCTGTCACTTTGGCTATTTCTCTTATATACTTCCACTATACAGACAGCAAACTGTATCACATTTTATTTCTCATAAAACAAATATTCATTGAACACCTACTCTGTGCTAGGTATGTTGCTTAGCAGAAAGACTATGCCAGTGAGGTCAGACATACCCCCAAAGATCAAGAATATATGGCATTTGTAGCATCTGTGCACTTCTGAGTTGATTCTTTTTTATTTTCAAACATATAGAAAATATAGAGAAGAATAGTAAATAATGTGACAAACAGTTATATATCCTGTTTACATGTCTGTTTTTCCTATGAGACTGTTAGTTCTCTGAGGGCAGAGATGCTTTATATTGCATCTTGTGTGCCTAATACAGAACTCTGCACATATTGGGCACTCAATAATAAATGTTTGTTGAAAAAATGACTCAGTTAAAAAACATGGTACAGCGTGAAGCTTTATTTTTAATTAAATAATGTCAAGTCCTTTTTTCACACTTCCTTCAAAGTCTCTAAAATCATTATGGGGCTAATGTCTTCTGTTATGATGTGACTTTCCCAATTAACTCCTATAGACACTCACTGTCTTATCTCACTCAGATAGCATCCTTTGACTACTCAGATACTTGTACTACTTCTCTGTTTGCACTTGGCTGTCTGGCTCTAACATGTGTGTTGGTCCTTGTATTTTCTCATTACATTGCATTGATACCTAGGAAGCACTGCAGAAGGGAATGTGTGCTAAGTAAGGGATCTCTAGAATAACATGCTTTCCTCCATGAACAGGGAGATTTAGCAAAGTGCTGAAGCAAGAAGAAGACAAGACCATTCCCATTAACTTTTCTAGAACTGATTTTGGGTCCTATAAAAGGAATAATTTGACTTTTTTAAACATACTACCTTCAGGAAAGGGAGAGAAAGAGGGAGGAAGGCAGGGAGACAGACTGACAGAACACCACATGTGGAAATAAGGCCAGCTACATTTCCTAATGAATGGAAAGGAATCTCCGAATTAATCTGCTTGATGGCATTGGCTTCCAGGCAGGAATTTAACATTGAGGCATGAACCTAAAATGAACAAATCACACTAATTTGCTAAACCTCAAAAAAACCCTAATTTTCTGTTTTTTTGTAAATTGTAAATGAACAGTCATAAAAATACCTACTGAAACAGTTAAAACCAAAACCAAACAGCTGCATTTTCTGTGACAACTGAGTTGTAAAGTAGGTAAAGATTTTAAAAAGTGAAATGCCAGGGGTTTGAGAGGTGTAAACTAGCACTATTCTTCTGAAGGTCAGTTTGGTAATACATATAAATTTAAATACATATGATATACACAAAAAACCCTAAAGTTCTGAAAAACCCTTTGGCCCATGAATTTCAGGAATTTATCTACAAAGATTTTACAACAAGAAAATTTACCGTGTATTACTATGTAAAACAGCAAACAACTGCAAACAATACAAATCTTTACACATAGGGGATTTGTTAAAGGTTGATAGATCCTTATGAAGGAATACTCAAGTATTTTTATACATATACTTATGAGTATTCTTTCATAAAGATTTATTATCTTTACGAGAAGAAAGTGGTTGTTAAAAAATTTTTTTGGTTGCAGAACTCTTTTTACACCCCAAATGAAATCCAGTTACGACCTAAATTTAAAGAAAAACAACAGCAACAATCAAAGGTGCTGGGTTTTTTTGGCCACGCTGTGCAGCCTGTGGGGCATGTGCCATCTTAGTTCTCCTACCAGTGATCGAACCCCTACCCCCCTGGAGTGGGAGCGCAGAGTCTTAACCACTGGACAGCCAGGGAAGTCCCCAAAGGCGCTCTTTTTAAAGAAAGGGTGGGGAACTTGAAACACTGTCCCCTCATCCCCAGAGGTTACTCCTAGGAACATTAAGGCTTCAAGGAACACACTGTGCAATCCACTACTCTTCAAGAACATTTATTGTGGGAAAAAAAGCAAGATGATAAAATGACTGCATTTTTTGTAAAAAAAATAATATATATATTATCTTTGAATGGTAGGTTTATAGGTAATTTGTATTTTCTTATTGCTCGTTTGCTTTTTTCCCTTAGATCTGCAGTATTATTTAGCGTGTATTATTTTCATAAGGAAAATATTATTTTTAAATCTATATTTTAAAGTTGGATTCTTCTGTACAGTAAGCTTTCCATATCCCTTTATTTCAGCTGGTATTTTAAGGTATTAACAATTCTTTAGATGCTTGCTCAACTAGAGAAAGATGTCTTTTATCTGACAATCAAGGAGATATTAAAATTCAGGTAAATGGACCCTTACTGGCAAGTTTCTCTACATCCTTACTACAGATTTCCTTTATGCTAAGTTATGTATACCTCAGTAAAAAGTACTCTATGTTCTGATTTCTGTGTCTTTTCACATGCTGTTCAATTTCTGTGAAATGTTTTATACTCCCATTCAAATGGCCAAATCATTCTCAGTCTTCAGATCTCAGGAGAGACTTTCAGCGGTCTTCTCTAACTATACTAAGTATTCTCCATCATTGTACTGTTTCTCTCCTAGTACTTAACACAATTTAAATTATATATTTGTTTACTTATTACCTATATCACCAATAAAACTGAAGTCTGCAGAGACTATGTGTATTATTTGCCAATATATTACACAACGCCTAGCATAATACCTGGCAATTGTTCATAAATATTTGTTGACTGATTTACTAAATGCTTGCTAAAATTTGAATTTAGAGACTTATGGAGACTCAAGTGGTTTAAAATAAGCTTTCCCACACTCTTGCCTAAGTGGGTTGGCAAGGTCCTGTTTTCAATACTGTTCACAATTTCTGATAACTTCAATAATAGCCCAGAGTCATATTAACTAGGCACATTTTATAATGCTTGTATAAAGTGATCCATGACTCACGAGAGTTCTGTTGAGATGCCTGCTTCACGACTACTGATCCTTTATCGTGTATCTTTTGGAAAATAAACATTCTATAATACAGAATAAGTATTTGCCACTTCAACATTTTCTAAAGCTTCTTCCGGCCCTGCTATAAATTATAATTGAAGCACACTAATTAGGGCTAATCTCAATATACTGATATTTATTACATATCATTCCATACATATGCTGATGTGTGGCCACTGAACTATAAACCCTTTCTGTCAGGAATCTGAAGAGCAGAAGCTACTATTTGGGGCACAATTTAAATAACAGGGGCTCCAACAATGGCAAACCAACAGTCTCAGAAGAGCTCTTGCAACTAAATGGAGAACTTAAAAACACCAAAACAAACAGTGTAAGAAAAATAACCATAGAAGGTATCAAATAAGCATAGAGACATAACATTTTAAATACTTCCAAATATTTGGTTTCAAAGCATAAATGGAGCATGTGGGCTTTCCACATCTTTTTCTGCCAAGTCCCAGGAAAAACTGACCATACTACAGTCATCTAAAACAGCTGTTAGGACTAATCTTCAAATATTTGGTTTCAAAATATAGACCTATTTGCACTTTAAAACTCAGATGCCTGCATACTCCTACTATAGCACTGCACTGAGATAATCCTTTCAAAGTAGGCTGCTGGCAAAAACAGATCTTTATTCATGGTAAGAACTGCTTCAAATGGACACAGCAAAATGTTAGCCTAAGTCCTAAAGTCAATTGTCAGAAAAGATAATTTGCTCTGGCACCAAAATACTTTTCTTTTCTTTCTTTTTTAAGGCAGAGACTAAATTTTATGAGTTATTTAAGGTTAAAGAGAGAGGGTAAATGTGAAATGTTAAGATTCTAGAAGCAAGGGAAAAAGTTTATGTCCAGTTTACTTAAAATTATTGACTTCCTTAAACTAAGCTTCTTGTTTAGCATATTGTTCTTGTGGGTACTCAAATTTAAACTATCAAATCTGCCTCACTTTGGGTTGCTAGAAGGTCCAAGCCACAGAGAAGGATCTTAGTCTAGCAATAAGTCAAGTGGTTTAAAATAAACTTTCCCATATTCTGGTATAATTATACTTGTTTTCTAGGACTCTGTTATAAGCATGGCTATCTAGTTGTCCTACACTTCTGATAGTTATCTAACACTACAGAGTAACGGGTTAGGAGACTAGGATGATAGGTGATAAACACAGTGTCTTTTACTCTACTGAGCAGACATCAATTCTGATTGATCAATTTCAACTTGCCTGAATATCTGTATGTTTCTTTAAGACTGCAGGCAATGAAAATGCCTATACCTTTATGAATCACATTGTTTTGTTTCCCTTTAAATCCATCATTTAAACCTTGTTCCTGAAAGAGGCACTTAAAAAAAAAAGATACATGATAGTACAACTCAGAAAAGGAACTGTATTTGGCATCTTACAAAACAGTGGTCAATCTTCACCCTATTCTTCTGATAAGTGTTACACAAATGGGAAGAATAAGAGTTATAATGGTTAAGAAATGTATCTTGAGTCATTTAACTGATTAATGAGGGAATTGGAAACTTTTTCCATTTCCCTACTTAGCATTCGTCTCTGGCAGGCAGCTCTAAGGACACCACAAACCAATGAAATTCCAAGTAGATAAGAATATTCTTCTCAACCTTACCTCTTTATGCACCTTCCAACTGTCTACCGTCACATTGAAGAGAGCTTTGAGGGCCTCAATGGCACAGTCTGTCTCCTGAGGTGAGAGAGGAGGTCCATTACGGTCTATGGCCGATTCATATTCATCGGTCCACTTGATGCTAAAGGCACTTTCCAAGATCTGGGTTAGCAGCGGTAGTCCTTGGAGCTCATAGCGCAATTGTGACCTGATGTCGGTGTGCAAAAGTGACAGGACGAAGAGCAAGCGCAAGTCAAAGCACTTAATGTCATTGATAAACTTTCGGTCCTTGCACTTTCTCAGGAGGTTACAGAGCTTTGCAGCAAGGTTAAGTTCCAGGCTGAGCTGCTGTGCCATCTGACTGTTGAACACTATGTTACAAAGACATTTTAATGACTCCACAATAACTGGGAACTCTGACACCTTCTCCAAAGAATCATCCGACTCATTTAGCTTGGCTAGTCGCAGCAGTATCTGCATATTTTCCTTAGTTGTTACAGGAACTAAAACCTTTTTGTCTCTGGAGAGAATGCGGAGAACTTCAAGGCAGGACACTTGACATGTTGTTGGGATGTCCTTTAAAAGGACTTTAAATATGCCTTCACAGAGTTTCTGGAAAACAAGAATGAGTATGAAAAAATCATTATTTGGCTTAAGTGATTTAAAACAGAATGTTTCTCTATCAATGTATTTGACTGCAGTTCAAGATCTGGCTAGAAAAGGTTTTTACTTTTTTAAAGTCACAGAATGTTAGAACTGAAAGAGACCTTATATTTGGTGTACTTCTTTTACTTTACAGATATGGAAATTGAGGGCCAGAAAGGTTAAGTTACTTGTATGGGGCCAGAGTGAATTAGTGGGGTTGCAAAAGATAGAGTATAGGTTTCCTAATTTCCAGCCCAATATTCTTTCTATAAAATCACTTATTCTCTTTTAAACTGACTAGTTTCAAATGTCTTATATGGCTTTGTTCTCAATGAATTTTTAACATCAGACTACACATACTATCAGGATAGAAGGTAATCATCCGAATCATAGCTGTTTCCTTCCTGGAAATAAAGATTAGTGCCTTGAGAATTGGTTCACAATTGGCTACAAGTATAGGCTCTCATAAAAAGACTTAAAGAAGTCTGCATTTCTGCCCAGTTTCAGCTGTGATATTTCTTCTGAGTAGTACTACTGCAGTAGTCCCATGTTTTATAAACCTTAGAACTCTCTTTAGCTAACGTGTAATAACATTTAATCATCAAATGACCCCAGAGATCTTTTGCTGACAACACTGATTAAAATTATTCCAAGTGTTGGGTTCCAAAGAGGGCTCAGCTAGCACATATGATGCCTTTGAGTCAACTGCAAAAAGGTGCCCCTCTCCAGGCTAACTGCAAAAAATGTTCCTACTGGGTGGACAAATTACAAAACAGCCCTCTTCCTCTGGGCAGCCCTGTGCCAGGACACATGGCTTGGGAAGCTCAGAGTGTGGGCAGGATCTTTCTTCTCTTGGTGTAGGGCACAGATTACACAAATATATGCAGTAGTCCTGGTTCCAAATTTTGCTACCACTATCTCAGAAACAACTCTTTATTTGGACCCAAAGTGTACTCTATCTTGAATTTTTTGAAAAATAGTTATTTCTGTCATTGCCAAATTTAAGAACCATTGATAATTCTCTCAAAATTCAATGTCCAGCTTTCTTCTCCATAAACTGCAGATCTGGGTCTCTGAAGCTCAAACCTTATATGTGCAGCAAGCAGATATAACCATTCCACTGCTGACCATTTCTATACCCGTTACATTTTATAAAAATAACAGCAACAACCATGACCAATACAAGGTTTTACAAAGTTTCTATTAACCTATCATCAGACTTTAACTTTTTTAAAAAGAGGCTATCTGTGGGTCAAGCATTATGATCTTGGCAGGAATCCTAGGCCATGTGCATCTTCTCAGTGCATCTGAGTCAAACAGCTATGGAAATGTCAATTTTATTTTTTTATAAATTTATTTATTTTATTTATTTAGTTTTGGCTGCATTGGGTCTTCATTGCTGTGCACGGGCTTTCTCTAGGTGCGGCGAGCAGGGGCTATTCTTCGTTGTGGTACACGGGCTTCTCATTGCGGTGACTTCTCTTGTTGCACAGCACAGGCTCTAGGCATGCAGGCTTCAGTAGTTGTGGCATGCAGGCTCAGTAGTTGTGGCACGTGGGCTCTAGAGTACAGGCTCAGTAGTTGTGGTGCACGGACTTAGTTGCTCCACGGCATGTGGGATCTTCCTGAACCAGGGCTCGAACCCATGTCCCCTGCATTGGCAGGCGGATTCTTAACCACTGCGCCACCAGGGAAACCCGGAAATGTCCATTTTAAATGTACTATGCTCTCTAGATGGAGGTGGGAAGGAAATTAACCTAACAAGCTAAAAAAAACTCCATTCCTGGGACTTCCCTGGTGGTCCAGTGGTTAAGACTCTGTGCTTCCAATGCAGGGGGCCTGGGTTCGATCCCTGGTCAGGGAACTAGATCTTGCAGGGCACAACTAAGGCTCGGGGCAGCCCCCCCCCCCCCAAAAAAAAGGCACTCTATCCTTTAACATACCTGATAACTGGAAGGGACTTCCATTTAATGTTTTAATATCATTGTTAAAGCATTTTTTTCATGAATGCAGTTTTGTGGTGGAGGAAGGTATAATGTGCCTATTATTAAAAATATAAAAAATGGGAAATTTTCTCCAATTTCAGATCTTTCACACCCAAGACAAAAAAAAAGTACCTTCTACATACTATTTCCTATGTGGTATATTCCTGGGTGGTGGAGTTAAATAACCTCTGCTCCCATACAATTTTACCCAAGAGGGAAATTATCTACATTCCTAGTTAAGAAATACATAATAAATATGATATTATAAAATACTATATATGTGAATTTGGAGTTCTACATATCTAATAAAACACAGAAATCTTTTTTTTTTTTTTTTTTGCGGTACGCGGGCCTCTCACTGTTGTGGCCTCTCCGGTTGCGGAGCACAGGCTCCGGACGCACAGGCTCAGCGGCCATGGCTCATGGGCCCAGCCGCTCCACGGCACCTGGGATCTTCCCGGACCGGGGCACGAACCCGTGTCCCCTGCATCGGCAGGCGGACCCTCAACCACTGCACCACCAGGGAAGCCCCTAAAACACAGAAATCTTTAGCTCTTTTCTTTCTAAACCAAAAACAAGAGCAACAATAAAATCCAAAAACAAAAAAAATCTGTGGGTAATATGGCTTCTTTCTTCCTCCACCTTCAGACTCAAGAAAGAAAAAAAGCAAAATATGAATACAAACTGGCATAGCCAAGGCTATTAGCCAAGTGGACTGTTAAACTCTGGGACATAAGAAGCTACATAAAAGAAATTAGAGAGGCCTATAAAATTTATAGTTAAAAATTGCCTCATCTAAAGGCTTGTAGGAGATCAGCAACCGAGACTGTTTTAAGCACAGTTTTCAATCATAGTTGTTTTAAACTCATCATAGTTGATGTCATTTCTCATCACAGACTTGCCCCACATGACAACAGTTAGGTAGCTTTTTGCTGTAATGTCCCTTGAAAAGTAATGCCACTTCTTGGACAATGACCCCTCCCTTTTTTGTATTACAACTTTAAAAAAATCAGACATAAAAATATAACAAAGGAATAGTTAACAGACACACTCATCGCTATACTCCATACGATCATTTCTATTCAGAGAATATTACAAGGAACAAATAAACCACGTACCACATCTGGATGAATCAGAAAGTTTTGCTTTGCATATGAACACCAAGCAAGACGAGGTAGCATTCTTTATGATTGCTCCATCTGTTGAGTGCGTGTGCGACTTCTATGTTTCAAAGGTGCTCCTGTTTCACCTTTATTTTGCCCTAATGTTATTTTCCTGTGCTATAACCTTTTTTCAGTTGATTTTACTCTTCCTAAAACATGCTCTGTTCTCTTCAAACACTTTCCATAGCTCCCTGTTGCCCACAGAATGCAGCTGAAATAAGCTCAGTGCCCCCTTTCCTACTGCTGTCTCCGTCACACACATACCCTCCTTCTCCTTTCTTTTCCAAGTGCTCCAAAGGGACTCCCAATCCCCTGACCATATGTCCTGAACCTTTCTCCTTCCATTCTCTCAGCATGGTCTACCCTGTCCCCATTTCCACCAGTCAGGACCCCACTCTTTTTCTAAGGTTTAATTTGAGGACTAAGGGGTCTAGAAGACTCCGCAGCCACTCTCTCCTTTGCTTTCTTTCTATATAGCACTTAGTTCCAACAAGCAGTTAGTTCCTTTTTACAGAGTGAGCTGTTGGGGCATCTCACTCCTTTTCCAGGCTCCTTGAGAACAGAGGCTATGTTTCATCTGTATCCCAGTGGCTGGCCCAGGTGTGCTACAGCTGTTTTTAAGTGCAAGATAACCACAAACTCCCAAAGATTACCAGCTTTAAAGTCTACCACCTGACTCTCCAGCCCCTTCCAAAGAATAACTCCTTTGTATTCCACCACCAGCCACCTCTCACTATCAAGTCTTCTCTTCCTCATTTTGCAAGTACAATAACTCATCATTACATAACATTTTAAGTGCAAACTGTTTTCATTTACTTTCAAAGTATTTATTTATACAAACTTGTTATCATTGTTCAACTGATATATTTTTAAATCTGAAACTATTTTGGTATCTTAGATAACCATGAAACACATAATTTTTTTTTCCATTAGAATGGATGGAAATACCTTCTGAGTTAAAAACTTTTCCCTTAGAGGTAGGTTTTCAGGAATGAACTAAAGTCATAAAGCAAAGCTTAGGTGTGCTTACGAAGTATAATTACTTCAGAGAGGCTGAGGAAAAGCCCTTTTAAAATGCTCGTTAGCTTAGGAGCCATGGCTATTTCCAAAAAGTTAGACTGCAAGACCCAGCAGCAGAGACTCAAGATTGAGATTCTCAATGTTAATACCAGGTATTGTCAAAAATTTTTGGTAGTTTCGGGCTTCCCTGGTGGCGCAGTGGTTGAGAGTCCGCCTGCCAATGCAGGGGACACGGGTTCGTGCCCGGTTCCGGGAAGACCCCACGTGCCACGGAGCGGCTGGGCCCGTGAGCCATGGCTGCTGGGCCTGCGCGTCCAGAGCCTGTGCTCCGCAGCGGGAGAGGCCACAGCAGTGAAAGGCCCGCGTACCGAAAAAAAAAAAAAAAAAAAAAAAAATTTTGGTAGTTTGCTCCGGAATGGAAACCCTAGAGTATACTACAGTAATGGTTCTCAAACTTCAGCATGCATGATAAAGGATTACTTGTTGTTGTTGTTAATTTTATTGAAGTACAGTTGATTTACAGTGTTAATTTCTGCTGTACAGCAAAGTGATTCAGTTATATATATATACATATATACATATATATATGTATATATATATTCTTTTTCATATTCTCTTCCATTACGGTTATCACAGGATACTGAACATAGGTCTCTGCGTCATACAACAGACCTTGTTGTTTATCCATCCTGTATATAATAGTTTGTCTGCTAATCTCAAGTTCTCAATCCTTCCCTCCCCACCACCCTCCCCCTTGGCAACCACAGTCTGTCCTCTGTGTCTGTGAGTCTGTTTCTGT